AAACCCTAAGCCCTCAACCCTAAACCCTAAACCCTAAACCCTAAACCCTAAACCCTGTTCCTCGGCGTTTTGCCTTGGCCACTGACCGGGGGAGCGGGAGCCAGGCAGAAGACCTGACCCGACTCGGAGCATTCCAGGAGAAGAGCCTTAACAGAAGTACTTGGAGGTTCATGGGTACTTATGAGGGGGCCTTATAATAAGGATCCTACTATTTAGGGTACTATATTAGGGTCCCCTATTTTCGGAAACCCCCAAGTACTTGGAGGTTCATGGGTAGTAGGGTTATAAGTAGGATAACTATAGTTATATGCTCTATTAGGGGACTTATAACTCCACTTATAACTACCCATGAACCTCCAAGTATTGCTAGCCCAAGATTCGTCTGCTATCTGCCTAGGTTTTAACAGTTTCTTGGAGTGATCCGGTCCAGGCATGAGCTGTCCAAGCATATGCTATAGGTCACGCTGAAGCCCAAAACAGATGTGGGAGTTTCCAAAAATTAGGGTGCCTTATTTGGGGGTTCCTTATAATAAGGGTCCTATTATTTAGGGTACTATATTAGGGTCCCCTATTTTCGGAAACTCCCATGTGCGACTGAGTGCTTGTGCTTGGCTTTTCTTGCAAGGTGCCATGTGCTGTGCTTGTTTGGACCATCGGGTTTCTGCCGCTGTCGCAATGCTCGTGTGTCCAAACCAGGCGACGTACCATGACCAATATGGCGAACAACAAGCAGCATCGCACACACTTGCGCTCCGGAGTTCTTGCTAAATCGCCAATAGCCTCAAGTCTACGGAGTTTTCGCGATGGAATGCCAACCCTAAATCCCAAACTCAAAGCAATCCCGAGCCCCTTCCACCTTCCAAGCTGGGCACCGCTAGGTGAATCGTAAGAGCCCTAAGCACACCTTAGCCCTGAGCCTCCCAAGCCCCAAACTCCAAATCCTCAACCTTAAACCCTGAGCCCCAAGCCCTAAACCCTTTAAGCCGTAAACCCCCCAAACCCCAAAATACGGGACTCTCATATAATACCCTAAACAGTAGGATCCTTATTACAAGGACCCCCAAAATAAGGTAGGTACCCTAATTTTCGGAAACTCCCATCTATCTATCCTGAGGCTCCAAAAGGGGTCCGGGGCTGCCTGTGGGCGCGATTGGGCTTGGGAGGCTAGGGCTATATATCTATGTAACCCTAAACCCTACCCCTTGTTTCGGAAGCTCCCCGATGGCTTCGGAGAGAGGGGCCGACTCGGAGGCCCTTCCGGAGGTCTACGAGGCCGGGTTTAGGGTTTAGGGTTTAGGGGTTTAGGGTTTAGGGTTTCGGGCCGAGGCCCGGGGGGTTTCGGTACCATGAGGTACCCACGTGGGGCCTCGGGCTTCCAAAGGACAAGGCAGTAGGTGTATATCTCGGGTTTTCACAGGAAAGGTACAGGGAGTAGGTGTATATGTATACGCGTATATATATATATACACACATCTATGTGTATGTATGTATGTATGTATGTATGTATGTATGTATGTATGTATGTATGTATGTATGTATGTATATATGTATGTACGTACGCATGTATGTATGAACGAATGAATGTATGTATATGCATATAAATAAATATACTCCGGGTTCTTTCTTTGGGAACTGGCTGCGGGGTCGAAGTCGAAGGGTGAGGGGTGCAGCGTGTTGTGAAAGCCCCTGGCTTTGGAATGACGGTTCAGGCTTTATGTCTTGAGAACCTTTGGTGTTTGTTCGGTTTGAACAAAAACATGCAGGGCAAACGAGGAAAGGCTAGAGGTTTTGCTTCCGAAGCAGAGAGGAATAGTGATGTGTGGAAGGAACACGGTCCTGAGCCGGATTAAAGCAGAGAGTACGATGACTGCATGGAAGCAATGGAAGCGCCAGATGCTCTGAGATGAGACTTCTGTCTGTCCCTTAGTGCCCTGGCAGGATAGCGCTGTGACCTCGGCCCTTCCGACGCACCGGGAAGCTCCGGTGCCGGAGGAAAGGTATCTCAAAGACACTGCGTGACAAGTCTAGCAGTCTAATCCTAAACCCTAAACCCTAAACCCTAAACCCTAAACCCTAAACCCTGTGTTTACACCGAGCCCTAGGACCCCCAACCCTGTAAGCTCTGTAAGCGCCAGAAACCCCCAAACGCCCGGAGCCGTCTGAGACTCCCTGCTTGGAGGTTCATGGGTAGTTATAAGTAGGGTTATAAGTAGGGTAACTATAGTTATTACCTATATTAGGGGACTTACAACTTATAACTCCACTTATAGCTACCCATGAACCTCCAAGTGGTTTCAGGAGGGTCGAGGCCAGGATGAGGTGGTCCTCCCGGCTGCGGTGAAGCGCATCTTGCAGCTGCGTCGAGAGGAGGAGCCAGAGAACCCAAACCTAAAAATTAGAGGGGCCTTAATAGGGTTGTAGCGTGTTATACTATAATTGACTATAATTATACTAAGGAACCCCCAAGAATATTATAGGTAATCATTAAAAGGCCCGTATATTGTAGCTTCACTGAGCTTGATGCCCTAAACCCTAACCCTAAACCCTAAACCCTAAAGCAGGACGACAGAAGTGATGATGACCTCGGCGGAGAGGCTACTCCCAGAGGGTCTGCTCCGGTGAGTACCGGAAGAAGCCCGGAGCTCCGAATGCGGAGGAACTTCAAAAAGCCCCGTCCTGGAAAGGAACCCCCCTAAACCCTAAACCCTAAACCCTAAACCAACCCTCAACTGGAAAGTCGGAGAGATGTAAGGTGGCCTGAAGCCTGAAGAAGGTGGTGAAGCCCCCCAAGACACATCCCTACTCAGCCCCATTTTGAAAGCCTTAAACAAAATTCCGCAAATAGTGGATTCTGCCGCCCTTAGCTGCTCGGCGGAAAAGGGTCCACACCCTCTTTTGAGAGCTTCACCTGGAGCCCGAAACCCACCAGGGAGCCGGGGCTTCGGGGCGTCCTCAGCCACCTGAGGCCGGATCTTGGGTTCTCAAGAGCATGATGATGATGATGATGATGATGATGATGATGGTTTCTGTTATTAGTGTTGTTACTAGTGCCATTTTTGTGAGTCTTATTGTGTTATTACTTTAATTACCATTCTAGTTGTTATTTTATCACTGCCAGTCTTACTATTGCATAATGATTGTCAACAGCTATGAAAGGGTTTAGGGTTTGGGGTTCAGGGGGTTTGGAGGGTTTTGAGGCCTTAGAGAGTTTTAGTGGGTTAAGGGTTGGGGCTTCGGGTTTAGAGTGCTTATAGGGGTTTGAGGTAGGTCCAGTGGCAGATCCAGGAGGTAAGCTGTAGGTAGACAATAGTAGACAGATTTGTACATATAATATACACACGTGTACGCCTGGTGCAATAGTCGGACTCGTTTGTGGTAGGTTTTTGCAAGTGAGCTGGCGCGAAATCGAGGCCGCTACTTCTTCCATCTCTACCATAGCTTGGCCATCATTTGTTTAGAGTCGCAGCCGTGATCTTAGGTCCAAGCCCTGAGCTTGCAGTTTCCTTTTCCACTTCTTGCTCTGCCTCAGGGGTGGTCTGCAGCCCTTCGGCAGTTTTCGGAGGAAGTGCGCCACATCTCCAAAGATGCCCGGAGCTGAGGACAGGTCTACGGTTACTGAAGGAACAATGAGTCCATACAGGCTTTGGTGCCAGAAAGGAACGCAACCGTGAAACCAAACATGTGGATGGCGATGGGAGTAGTAATTCTGATGGTGAAGGACAGTGCTGTATCCTGAGTGACAGCCACAACGATGCGAAGTCTCATAAATGTGATCAGTATTTCCATGAGGGTTCCATGCAACTAGCCAAAATACTGACAACAGCCAAGAAGAAGCATCACCACCCGCATCCTCGTCGCGGTCATTTTCATCGCCGAGGAATGCAACGATGATGATACACACAGTGCCCGCACGGAAGCACCAGCAGCTGAGCGTACTCGTCAAATTCAGAAGGGTCGGAGAAGAGGTGATCAATATGATGACATACTTGTCTGCACCGCTGCCATTACCATCTTCATCTCCGCCAGCATTACCTTCTTCACCACGACTAATGAGCCTTTCGTGTCCTGAATCGGCTTCCTTCCGACCGTGTGCTCAGGCTGGCCGGACCCAAAGCCAGCTTGAGGTGAGGACATTCTTCGATCTCCAGGCGTCTTTTGCCGGGCTGAGGCTTTGGGCTTCCCAGGCACTTTTTGGAAATATGGCGTTTGGGTTCAGGGTTTAGGGGCTTCTTTTCATGTTGGGATTGCGGCTTGACTTTGGCGTCCGAGGCCCGGCCTTGCACTCCGAGCCCCTGAAACCACCAAAGCACCAGAGCGAGCCTTCATGTCCAGGAGAGTAGGATCCTTCCGACAACAAAGCAAGAAGTTCAAGACTTTCGGGAAAAAAAGTCGCCAACTTCGGGTGCCTGTCCTTAAAGCTGAACCCTGGTGAGGGCTACAACCTGGAGAGCTTTGCGTCGAAGACCGGGCCCGAACCTGGCTCTCTCCTGCTGCCATGCCTTCTCGCTTACCTGTGAGAGGGCTTGCTTGGAGGTTCAAGGGTACTTATAAGTAGGGTTACAAGTAGGATAACTGTAGTTATAACCTACATTGGGGGACTTATAACTCCACTTATAACTACCCATGAACTTCCAAGTGGTGAGGATGAAGGGTTTTAGAGGCTGAGAGGTTATGTCAGGGTTTCGATAGGGATAAGGGCGATAAGTGGCTACTAGTAACGAGTAAAGTCAACCGGGCCTGATCAAAGCAGGGAGCTTCCCCACTCCCCGAGATTCTCCCTGGCTTGTGGTCCTTGATCCTGCCAGGATGTACATGTTCTACTCGCGGATTTTCGAGAAGGTGGTCAGGGCCTTCAGACAGCGCACCTAGGGAGTCTAGTGAGTCTAGTGAAAGCCCAGGAGTAGACTCTGAGTGGATGTCGTGAACTTTGCTGAGAGGATCGGTTTTCCTTGTTGGATTTGGCTCGAGCTTGAAGGACAAAGGGACAGTTGGAGCACATCATGAAACTGAAGAGGTTTCTGCTGCGCTACGATCCACCGGGAGTTGGCCTCGAAGTGGAGGCCGATGACCAGGTCACCGTCCAGCACAAAAACCTCCCGGCGAAGTCTGAGGTCTCCACATCGAAGGAAGTCCACGCCTTGGTCGACCAGCTGATCGAAGGAGAGCCCGCTCTACTGACGCGAAAGCGGCATAGAGAAGGCCTGATCCAGTTGCTCGGAAGGTTGTACCAGGTGGAGACTGCAGAGGAGGAAAGGCCGAGCGAGCCCCAGGATGCAGCGGAGGATCCCAAGGATCGTGAAGAGCTGCATGGGCAAAGTGTGGTTCTCACCGGCCTCTCTGGATCTCAACAGGCCTTCAACGGCGAGGTAGCAGTCGTTGTCAAGGCAAAAGGAGACAAGCAGAAGTACGAGGTGGAAGTGAAGGGGCAAGTGGTGAAGGTGAAGGGGAAAGAGCACTTGCTCCAGGTCTCTAGCAAGGGCCCACTGGCTGCAGGTGCCTTCGTGGCCATCCGCGGGCTGCGCAACCATGTTGAACTCAACGGCTGCGTGGCCCGGGTGGCAGAGTGCCATGAAGAGTCCCAGCGCTATGAGGTTCGTGCGCTAGACAGTGGCCAGCTCTTCCGGGTGAAGAAGGACAACGTGATCCTCATTGAGACCACGCCTGCAGTGCTAGCAGCCTCGGCGGCGATGAAAGAAAACCGTGAGCCGAACACATCACCCCGCAAGGAGGGTAATTTACCGGCAACGGGTGAGACAGACGATGTGCTGGAGGTGGGCTCGACCGTTGAGCTGGTGGGATTAAAGACCGCCCAGGCATACAACGGCCAGCAAGCAGAGGTCCTCTCTGTGGATCAAGTTCGAGGCAGGTATGAAATCAGACTCGGTGATGGCAGCGTGAAGACGATCCGGGCTGAAAACGTACGCTTAATCCAGGGAAAGAGTCCCAGAACCAAGCGGGGCAGAGACAAACTGCAATAGGCCCGTGCCAGTTTCACAGAAGAATTCACCCATCTGCTCTGCGTTCAATCTGCAGGCACCGGCTGGAACGTATTCGTATAAAAAATCACGCTCGTTTGCAATCGCAAGTTCAGCCTGTTGGTCTAGCAGTGAGGCCGCCAAGTTGCTCACCGCTCGCGCTTTTGCGCGTTTGATCCCAGGTCGGCAAGCAGAAAGGAGTGGAAGTGCAACTCTTTGCTCCGATCAACTTTGACGATCGGTTGTGCAGTCCTCAGAAAGCAGCCTTCTGACGCACCGTTGGCAACTTTGGTGTTTCTTCAGAACACTTACAGGCATAAGCACAGTCTTAGTCATGGCTATAGTCGCAGCAAGCGTACTGGTCACCGTCATAATTAGTCACAATCGTATTTTTAATACACAGACGTCACAGACCGAGTAGAAATGCTAGAGCTTGGGTGCGGGAATCGGGTTTACATCTCACTTGCGCGGGTCGTGGTGGTCAAAGCGCAAAAGCTCGGTAACAAGGCGCCGCTGCCGCTCCGGGCCCTGCTGTTTATTGCAGTTGCTCTTATTTTGGCCACCGCTTGTGCTGCTTCGACTGCTGCCGCCGTGATTCCGAATGCGACTGCGACTACGATTGCTACAGCTGCCGTTGCTGTTGTTGTCGCGGTGGTGGTGATGCTGGTGGATGTTGGTAAAGGCTCACGATCGCGGCATTTAGCCAGCACGAGGCTGAGACAGTGCATCAGTGCACTACGAACTCAGGTGTCGGAGTAACAGAGACAGTAGAAACGCTAAGCAGAATAGTGCAGCGATAATTTTGATGCAACTGTCAGCATCTTTATCGTCATCCTGCCAGTGCTACTACTACACTATGTTACACCAAAAACGGCGGCGACTACGACTACGACGACAAGGACTACTACTTCTTCTTCTGTACTCATAACCTCGCCTCGAAGACTTCCCCTCTGTTGCTGTCCAGGCTTGGCTTCCGAGCCATCCTGGAATGGGCCAAAGATTTCAAAATGATGCCCGTGCGCCAGGGGCTTGGTGTTTGCGGTGCGCAAGAGCCGTCTGTACTTCAGGGTTTAGCATTTCGAGTTCAAGGTTAAGAGATTAGGGCGCTGTGTGATCAAATTCTACACCACCAAGTCTAAAGCCCTCGATGCAATAAGCTGCAGCAAGATTCCTTGAACCTAAACCTTCAAACAAGTGCAAAGGCCCACCGAAGGCAGTCTGCGCTTCTCCCCGCCCTCAGTTGTGCTGCGGGTGCGCAGCACAGCAGCACAGCACCAGCAGCAGCTGCTAGGACTGCTACTGACTACTCCCCGTTGAACGTCGCCATCATCATCATCCTCATCCCCATCCCCATCATCGTCCCCGGCCCCATCATCATCCCCGTCCCCATCCCCATCTTTTTTTTCATTTTCATCCCCACCCCCATCCCCATCCCCATCCCCATCCCCATCCCCATCCCCATCCCCATCCCCATCCCCATCCCAATCCCCATCCCCATCATCATCCCCGTCCCCATCCCCATCATCTCCGTCCCATCATCACCTCCGTCCCCATCCCCATCATCATCCCCATCCCCATCCCCATCCCCATCCCCATCACCATCCCCACCATCCCCATCCCCATCATCATCTCCGTTCCCATCATCATCCCCGTCCCCATCCCCATCCCCATCCCCATCCCCGTTCCCGTCATCATCTCCGTCCTCATCCCCATCATCATCTCCATCATCATCCCCGTCCCCATCGTCATCCCGTCCCCATCCCCATCCCCGTCCCCGTCCCCGTGATCATCTCCGTCCCCATCCCCATCCCATTTTCATTTCCATCCCCATCCCCATCCCCGTCCCCATCATCATCCCCGTCCCCGTCCCCGTGATCATCTCCGTCCCCATCCCCATCCCCATCCCCATCCCCATCCCCATCCCCGTCCCCATCGTCATCCCCGTCCCCATCCCCGTCATCATCCCCGTTCCCATCATCATCTCCATCATCGTCCCCATCCCCATCCCCATCATCATCCCCGTCCCCATCCCCATCCCCATCCCCGTCCCCATCCCCCATCCCCATCGCCATCCCCATCATCGTCCCCGTCCTCATCCCCATCATCCCCATCCCCATCATCATCCCCATCCCAGCCCCATCCCCGTCCCCATCATCATCCCGTCCCCGTCCCTATCCCCATCATCATCCCCATTCCCATCCCAATCATCATCCCCGTCCCCATCCCCATCATCCCCATCCCCATCATCATCCCCATCCCAGCCCCATCCCCGTCCCCATCATCATCCCGTCCCCGTCCCCATCCCCATCCCCCGTCATCGTCCCCGTCCCCATCCCCATCCCCATCCTCACCCCCCTTTCCCATCCCCATCCCCATCATCATCCCCGTCCCCACCATCATCCCCGTCCCCATCCCCGTCCCCGTCATCATCTCCGTCCCCATCCCCGTCATCATCCCCGTCCCCATCCCCATCCCCATCATCATCCCCGTCCCCATCCACATCCCCATCCTCATCATCATCCCCATCCCCATCCCCATCCCCATGTCCATCCCCATCATCATCTCCGTCCCCATCCCCATTACCATCCCCATCATCATGCCCGTCCCCATCCCCATCCCCATCATCATCCCCGTCCCCATCCCCATCCCCATCCCCATCATCATCCCC